TGGGAGTGTGGGGGCGGTGTCCAAATAGGCTGGTTTGTGCACATGGGACGGACCAGTATAAAGAAGCTGGGAGTGATGGACATAGGGCATTCTGATTCTACATGGTTATGGAGGTGGTCTGGTTGGGCAAGGTCCTGGAAGCAAAGCGTGACCAGACACCCATAGGGAACTCAGTCCATAGGCTGAACCAAGGCAGCAGAGTTGTGCTGGACCTACGGGGACCAAGGGTTTTATTCCACATTCTGAACTTCCTGTAAGGCAAGATGAAATGCCAAGGGCATCCCTCAATCAGGGTGAAGCTCGACACTACAGTAATTTGGTAAAACAAGGCCTTTGACTATGGCTCCCAAGTGGACCTCATCATCATTCTGTTCCAAATAGGTAACACCACTGAATTTATGGCCACCGGACACCGTTCCTCTTCCTCTTAGTCACACACAGCACCTTGACTCCCTTCTGTGACTCCCCTTTGTGATTAAGGCGGTCAGAGGACAGGAGCCTTCGGACCAAGGTGATTGGCAGAGCAGTCGTCCAATCAGGATGAACCGCAGGCATCCCACAGGCGTGCTGGGGGAGGGCACAGCCTGCACTGTCTCACAGCCTGAGAGTAGTAGGCCCTGCTAGTAAGTAGTCCCTGGCACGTACTCTCCTGGGCTTTTCACTGAAGATGAGCCCATAGGTTTCATTTTCTACAGAGCATGATTTGTGTCAAGTTTTCTACTACTTAATAATTTGAGATGAATGGGGTTATATTGTGTCTGTACTGTATCTTGATTTTTCAGGGCAGTATTTCATAACAATCAAGATGGACTGAAAGGAGATATTGTGAAATGGTTCTTTTTACTTCCTGGCATCAAAAAGACAGCCAAAATCCCAAACTGATTTTTTTTTTTTTGTCCCCAGTTATGGGTAAACAGACTTCCCCAACTCTATCTCTGATCTTCCTTTCCACTCGCCATTGGGTTTTCTACTTTTTAAAAGTAAAAATATAGTTTGAAAAATACTTTAGAACTGCATGAGCTTTTAGGGATGAGAGGGCATATGGTACAGTGATTAAGAAACTCAGGGGAGTCAGGCAACATCTGCATAGAGGATTCCCACACACTGACCCCATGCTGGGTATGCAGGGGCTGGACAGGGACTGCTGGTAGGGTCCTGCCCCTGGAGATGTTTCCTTCCGATGACCAAGATGGTCTTGGCATCAATCACAGCACCATCAGGCTTAGTGCTAAAAGTGAACCCAGAAAAATACTGTGGAGGGTTTGGGGTCTACCCTCTCAGCCCAGTACCAAAGTCTTCACAGAGGAAAGGGCTTTGCTCTAACCCTAAACCTGTCGTTCTGCTGGCAAAATCCCCATCCCCATTGCCCACAGCCACTATTCCAACTTGGCTCCGTTTCTCTCATCTCATCCTCCACCTCCTCAGGGGACACCTTCATTTTCTGCTTCACTGAGCAAACAGAGATTGTCAGATGTAAGTGCTCCCAGTTTTCTTAAAATGCCATCCACCCTCATCCTTCCCTCTTGGCCTCACACTCCTCCTTTTCTTTCTTCTTTCCCTTGCCTCTCTCAGGCCTCTGCTTCTTCCCCACAAGGATGCTGACCCTTCAGCCTCTACGCTTGTCCACTTCCCTTGATGCTGTGACATGGCAGGGCCTTTGGCCAGGCCTCATCCCTGTGAGCTTCCTCACATGTCTTATCTGGGAAATAGGGACAAGGCCTGGCTCACACATTGTTTTAGTGATTAAACAATATGACACATGCCAAAAAGTATGTGGCATAGCCCTGAACACCCAACATGTTGTACAGAGGATGACAGAGGGCGCCCTCTAGGGTGGCTGCCCCATGATCCCACTCCTCCTGATGTAAACACCCTGGCATAATCCCCTCCCATTAGCTGTGGACAGGACCTATAACTTGCTTCCAGTCAAGAGTATGGCAAAGGAGATGGATTGTCATTTTCATTATTACTTAATGATATATAATACTCCATCATCTTGCTAGCCAATCTGCCCTGGACATTTTCCCACAGCTGCTCATTTAAGCAAGGAGCCCACTTCAGAAAGCCCATGTGGCCGGGAGCTTTGGGGACACTTCAGCGGCTGAGGGGAGGCTCAGACCCACAGCCAGTGTAAATGAAAACTCTCGGTCCTGTCACTCCAGTGTACTGCAGGCTACGGCAACCACTCAGGTACCGCAGCCATCTTCCTCTGGTCAAGCCACCCAAAGAGAAGCCAGCCCTGGCTGATGACCTTGATTGTAGCCTTGTGAGACCTCAAGAAATGGACCCAGCTGAGCTGCTCCTGACCCACAGAAGCTGTACAAATGTAGGTACAGATTCGGAAATGCTTCAGCTATGTGAAGGCATGTCTTGAGCCACTAAGCTTGTCATTTGTTACACAGCATTAGATAGCTAACACGACACCACATGATGGATGCTAGCTTTATTCTCAGCCTTGCTTTTCCCTCCAGGCTCTACACTACCCTTATAGTTTCCTGTTCTTGGTTACCAGCTCTAGAAGGTGGCAGTGCCCATGGAGCTATTCTCAGCCCAAACTGTGGGCACCTGGAGGGCAGTAGCTGTGCAATGCCCACAACCCTCTCTGAGGGGCCCACAGCCAGGCCGCAGCCCATGTGACACCTCTTTCTAGTTTCCTGTGTGATTAATGATGTGGTAAGTTAGAGTTGTGACAGTGTATGGTGCCCCTGCTGAAAATGAACTCCATTAATGATCCTTTATGAAAAAGACAGCAGGAGGGTATGAAGCGGCTGGCTTCTAGTGACTGTGATGTGATGACAGTGGAGGGAGATGGGGTGAGGAAGCCTGGATCTCAGATGGGGGTCAGCGCGGTGGCAGCTTGGAAGGCTCCCTCAGCAGGGCTCAGGCACCCTATTGTCCGGAGGCAAAGCCTCTAGAACCATCACTGTCTTGATGACCAAATCCCTCCACTCTGAGCCTTCCATCCTCTGTGTGCATTGACACATTCAACAAATATTTAAATCTTACACCTGCAAGATATCAGTGACTGTTCTGGAGTTAGGGATACATCAAGGGCCCTGATCTCTCACATGCCAGAGGAAGAGACAGATAATAAATAAATCAACAAATAAACACATCAGGATAGTTGTTGATAATGTCAAGTGCTCTGAAGGAAATAAACCAGGGTGATAAGGCAAACAATGACAGGTGGGGCGGCAGGTACATGCAATGGGTGGTCAGAGGCTCTCTGTGGGATGACACATTTTGGTTTAGCCTTAAAGGACAAAGTGCCAGAGATATCAAGGTCCAAGCAGAGAATTCTTCCAGCAGTAGGGCAGCAAATGCAAAGGCTCTCAGGCAGCACTGGGTGAAGCCTCTGAGAGGGAGGGTTAGGGTTCTAGCCTCACCTCCCTGAGTCCAACTCAATATTTCTGGGAGTTGGACCTGTAAGATACATTTCTGGGCCAACAAGATAGCTCAGTGGACTAAATGCCTGCTTAGGAGAGTGCAGGGACCAGGGTTCGATCCCATGTACCACATGCCATGCTGGCCCCACCCCTGGGGTACACTGAGCCAGCCACCAAGACTGGGCATGGTGGTGCACCCTGTAATCCCAGTTCTGGGGAGATTGAAAACAGCAGGATCACTAAGAGTCTGAATTGCATAGTGAGACCCCATATTGAATGAGAGAGAGAGAGAGAGAGAGAGAGAGAGAGAGAGAGAGAGAGAGAGAGAGATTTCTATCATTTCCATGTGTGTCTGATGCTCCAGGTCCCAGAACCACACAAGGATCCATCTCCTTCCTTGAGCTTCTCACTCTTCCAAAGAAGTAGGAGGCAGTCTGGATTATTGGTGAGCCTGGGAGGAGCTGGCCCTGTTCAGCCCCACCTCCCTCCTTCCTTCCTCTCTCCCTGCAGTGTATATTCAGGTCTGCCTTCCCTCCGGTCCCTCAGTAATCAAGGTGACACTCTTGGTCCTCAGCAGGCTTTCTCCAGCCTCTGCCAATTGCTTCTGCACTGGAGAAGGAAATGAGTATATTTTATTGATTGAGTTTCCCTCCAATCACAACAGGGAGGTTAATCTTGGTTGCAAAACAATCAATTGGCCTCTGGACTACACAACCTCGCTGGGATCTCATGTTTGCTTTCAGCTTCCACTAGACACATCAACTGGGGCATAAAGAAGTCTCGTCCATTGGTCTAGTCCACATCAGAACAGACTGAGGTCACAAAGACAGTGTGGTACCCTCTCTGAGCTTCCTGGTGACCTTTTGTGTCACATTTCTGCAAGCAATACATGCCCTAGAGGTGTGCTGAGAATAAGCAGCCCATCATAGACCTTTGAGACTGGCAAGGACTGGCATGGGCTGCTGTGTCATGGGAGGAGTACCCTAGGAATGGGGAAACTGACCCTGGTCTCTTAAAGATGGGTTAGAAAGCAAGAAAATGTAAAGGCAGTTTCAAGCAGGAGAGACAGCTCAGCCTTGTGACCTCTGGGGCTGGCCCTGATCTCTGGTTACCAGTGACACCATGAGCCTGCAGGTAGCAGGCCATTCTGGTGGGGGGGCTGCCTGACAAGAACTCTCCCTATCCCTGGCCCTCTTTTCTACCCTGTCTTGGCTGTAGTTTGTACACTACATTTCTAAGAGCTTCCCCTCCAGCAGTGCAATGTCTGATACACACACCTTGCACAGACC